TATTATATAAGCAAAACTTTAAATAACAATTAAATACATACTTGAACTAGTTCGGTTAATGGAAAATGAATAAGGGCAAATAAAAGTAAACTATCCTTAAATATTTTTAGAGAATTTCATTAAATGTAATACATTTAATTTATATTTAGTTTATTAACTTTCAGGTACTTTTTATGGTTGCCATCAGAGTCATGTAAAAAAGTAAGCCAAACCATTTCTGTAACAATAAATCAGAAAAAAATAAAAAAAAATATTGCGCATACGCTTCGTTGACCAAAGGCTCGCTTGTTATGCGCGTGTGTGTGCGTGTTGGTTTATTTATACTTATAAATATGCATAATTGTCGCGTGCGGGCCACAAAAAAAAAATCTACGAGGAGACTGAATAATATATGTACACCACAACAACAGCGAAAAATTTTCAACCATGAGAAAATGCAAAGAGGAAAAAATATAATTTTTTCCCAGCGAGAAAAGAAGGAAAAATAATTTAAAAATAAAAAATAGAAAAAAAGTGGTAACGAAAAGAGTAAAAAAAAAAACAAATTAAATAGCCATAGGCAGAAGCAGCTAATGAAATTTTAAATTCAGCACGCGCCGCAATTACCCAACAAAATGTTAAATGTAAGAAGGGAAAAACGAATAAACAATAGCTTAATTATGAACTCTGAGAATATATACAATTAAAATGATATCAAGTCAACTTAATCTTTAACTTTAATATTGAAGCAAAGAGATTGACCTAGACGTAAATAACTTTCATTTACCCATCACTTTCACAGGGTCTCGCTTTTCCCGCCATTGTTCCCAGACAATTAATCAAAATTATCAGCTTATGTCAGACAAGCCCTAAAAGCCCCTTCAAATGAAAAAGGCAAGAAGAAGAAACGTGAAGAGGGCACAGTTGCACGCATGAAACGAAACTCAACCGCTAATCCAGTTTAATGCTAATTACACAGCACAGCACATCCGATAATATCCCGACAAAGTCAACATGAGCCACCTCCCAAACATATGAATGCCCTAATTTTAACAAATTGGATTATTAATATTATTAATGTCAAGCAGATGAGATGAGAGCTAAGCAGAAATTAATTACACAATAATAGTATATTATAATCAAGCGAGCAAAAATTATAAATACGTAATGACATTAACTACTTTATTAACTGTAA